CAGGCCCAGAGTTCAGGCCCCACGACCAGACCCCAAAAAAAAAAAAAAAAACAGTGTGCGTTAGCCATGGCAGAAGGCAACAGAGAAAAATGCAAGGATGAGATTAGAGGCCAGGCTCCAGCCTGCCTCTCTCCTCCAGAAGACTCTGTGCATACAAGTGCGAGCAGTAGGCTCCCCAACATCGGAAGTGGGGGACTCTGACAGCAACTGTGTCACTGTTCCTAAGGTATAACCAAACCTCGCAAGGCGCACGCCTGTAATCCTAGCTGCACTGGAGACTGAGAGCTGAGGATCGCGACTCACAGCTAATCCAAGGAAGACTAAAAAAAAAAATTGAGAGACTCTATCTTCTACCAACCAGCACAAAGCTGGAAGCCGTGACAGGTGTAATTCAAGTGATAGAGTACTAGCTATGGTTGAAAAAGCTGAGCCCTGAGTTTGAGCTCCAGCATCTCTCTCTCTCTCTCTCTCTCTCTCTGACTCCCTATGTCTGTCTGTCTGTCGGACTACCTCTCCTCCCTCCCTAGCCCCACCCAATATTCAAAGCTGAATGAACACTGTGGACAAAAGATTTTCCTCAGGAGCGTGAATAGAAATGGTTCCCAACCCGAGCACACTGCCCCCTTTGAGTTTACTTACTAGGTTTGCATTTAAAGGAGACCAGGAGGTATTTACTGCTTCCTGGACAAAGGTCAGGTCCAAAGACACGGCTATTGACCAGGAGGTGGCAGGCCCGCTGGTTCTGGCACTCATCCAGCACCTTCTAGAAGGAGGGGTAGAAAAGGAATAGGCTTGTAAACTGCATACAGTATGTGCTGGCCCCCTAGCCTGGGCTGCGCTGGACTCTGGGGAGGGAGGGCAGGCTCCCCATCTGGCCTGAGCTGTGTCACAGCTGAACTGTATATGGGTGGGAGGGGGTGCTCTCTACCCCGCTGATCTTTCCTAAAGGAAGACCCTGATTGGGCAGAGCCAGGCTGCATCGAACAGCCAATCCAGTCAACCAGGACTGGTTGAATCTCTTGGCAGAGGCGCTGCATTGCAAAGGCTTCTGGGAGCTGGAAGGAGCTCAGTCCCACACCTGTGAGGATAGTCTGGAGGCAGGCAGGGCAAGGACGGGCCTCAGCTTTAAAACAGTGTTGTGAGGGTCAGAAACCAGCACCGCACCTTAGAAACAGCCTCCACAGGCCCCAGGAGAGGTCGCGTGGCAGAGGCCTCCGGCCCCCAAACTAGTTCCAGCTTATGCCCAGGCACACAACCAATGGATAAAGTGTCAAAGCTGATTCCCATCCTCGGATGGAATCCTGAGGGGATCCTGGAGCGCGTCTCATCCCGACTCCCAAAGTAAAGGCTACGAGGCCTACAATCTCTCTGTGGAGCAATTTCCTTAGTGGGAGATTCAATCTGTTGACTTAAAACTTTCCTTTAAATCTGTTTCTCTGTCTCTGTCTTTGCGCCTGCCTCTCTCTCTTTCTCTCTCTCTGTCTGTCTCTCTCTCTCTCTCTGTGTCTCTCGCACATGCATGTGCATGCATGCTCCCTTGGTGTTTTTCCAGCTCCTGGTCAACAAATCTGTCCTGTGGACACTTCTGAACACCCTACCCCATACCACAGTAAGCCCCACTGTGGTCCTGCCGTCCTCCAGGTCCTGGTTTATAAGCTCAGAGCCTTTGGACTTGACTCTGGTAAAAAAAAAAAAAAAAAGTGCCACACGTAGTAGGGAGAAGGCCCCCAAGAATCTACTTAATACTTCAGGAGTGAACTGAGGGGTGACTCAGGAGCTCACCTGCTGCCATGTCCTCATCGAAGGACGCTGGCTACCCCGTGTCTCCCTGACCCTCAGAAGCCCTGCAGGTGTGGATTGTCAATCAGAGTGCCTGAGGGAACCCCTTCAGTTCCCAGGAGATGTGGCTCTCAGAGGATGGCACACACAGCCCTCAGATGCCACTGGGGGCTTTTTATGACAACCTCAGAGCAGGCCCCAGAACAGGCTGTGTCTAACTGTGATACAGAGATGCAGAGAGAAGACTTCCTGTGGACATTAGTCAACTCTGCGAGGCCAGCAATGATCCTCTTTGTGTACAGCCATCTGCCCCCCCCCCCCCCCCGTCTACCTTCAGTTTTTCACTCTACTCCAGGAAGCACTCTGCCTCAGCATTCTGTGTGATCCGAACAGCACACGGGAAATTCATTCCTGACCTCTGAATGAAAAACCAGAATGCGGGGATGTTTCTGGCAACCCAACCTTTAGAACAACACCAGAACTGTGCTCACAAATGCTAACTTGTCAGCCTAATGGAACATTCTCTTCCCTCAGGGGTGCGTGGCTGTGACAGGCCTCCAGCATGCCAGGAACAGCTGCTTTTCACAAAGTGGGCACTTCTGTCCTTTGGGTACCACCAACACTCTTATTGTTCACCTAGGATGGCAGCAGACAGCCTAGGTACCTGGGATGGGCGGCAGGCAGCTGGGCAAGGAATGGAGATGGACCAACAGGGCTGCTGGTCCAGGGGGACGATGTGGGGTGGGGTCCGGCACACAAAGAAACAGACTTCTCATGTCCCAAAGAAACATGTCAGCCATCTGTGCGTGGAAACCACCTCAAGGGAATTCATACAAGTAGGTACTCTGTGGGTGTGCTCACCAGCCACGTGGCTACTCTGATATGATTCTCTGAATAGAAGCAATAAACTGTGAAAATTAGAAAAAAGTCTTTACATCATTGTATTATTGGTGCTTCTCCTCTTTGGCCATTAGGAAGAGTGACCCAACATTAAAGCTAATTCAATTTGTTGTTAGGCCTCCTAGTGAATTTAGCTCCCATCCACATTTCCCATGGCTAACAGAAACCAACCAATTTCCATCTCAACACCTGCAATGAGAATACCCCGCAATATCTTAATGTTAGATCCTAACATCAGAAGCATTAAAGAAACTAAATCCAGGCCCAGTGGCTCACCCTGACCAACTAGTTACAAATTGTGGAGTAGCCAGAGGTGGAGGAATACAAGTTGTTTGGATAATTGAAAGCCAGCCACAGTGGCTCATGCCTGATACCCCAGCTATTCAGGAGGCTGGGACCTGAGGATCAAGGTTAGAAGCCAGCCCAAGCAGAAAAGTCCATGAGACTCTTTCTCGAATGGTAGAGCACCAAAGTTAAAGGAGAGCCCTGAGTTTAAGCCCCAGTACTGGCACAAAAGAGAAAAAAGCCATAAATAGCTGAAAGCCATCATTAAAACTGTTTCGCCTCCATTTATGCCAAATTTTTACCCAAATATGACACAACAATGAAAACAAAACAAGAGAATGACTTAAAATCCTCTCCCCCAGTTTCTGGTTCTATTCAGAAGAACAAATCCAACAGAGGCTGTTCAGAGTAGCTCCCAGCAAGAATAATGTCAGTAGCTACCAGTGGGAAAGCAAACCATTGAAAACAAAGACAGTTATTGCTATTTCCCTCACTTCTTTAGGAAGTTCATAGTGACTCGTTTGTTTCACAGAGATACCTGTGGTTTTCTGCAAAGAATCTCTTTCTCCTAGGGTGTGTGTGGGAGCTGAGGGCCTGCAGATTGAAGGACGGGGCGGGGGGCTGTACTTAGCTTTGCTGCAGTAAGGAGATGTCTATGAATAAATGTCTATTAATAGCAAATGGGCAAATGTAGCAAAATAGGATCATAACGTGTTATAAGGATGTCCAGAATCAGATGCTCTTACCTATTACTGGAAAAGTACAAGTTGTACCATCCCTTTGAATGGAGTAGACAACAGTTGTATGTGGTGTGTGTGTGTGTGTGTGTGTGTGTGTCTGTGTGTGTGTGAGATGTATACTCTAGGATTCAAGGATGACATTTTTAGTAATGTACCATAGATATACCATAAAAATGATCACTGAACCACTGCCTATAAATACAAAAATTTGAAAATATTAAAACATCCTCCAATTACAGAATAAATTTTTAAAATATGATTTATTCTTATAAAAGAACACTGTAAGTCAGGTATCACTGGCTTGTGTATGTTATCCTAGCTACTCAGGAGGCTAAGATCAGAGGACTGTGGTTCAAAGCCAAGGGTCTTTGAGACTCTTAGCCCCAACTAACCAGAAGAAAGCTTGAAGTAATGCTGGGAAGGTGGCTCAGTGGAAGAGTGCTTGTCTTGCATGCATGAGGCCCTGGGTTCAATTCCTCAGTACCACATAAGCAAAAAGAAAAAAAGCCAGAAGTGGCACTGTGGCTCAAATGGTAGAGTGCTAGCCTTGAGCTGAAGAGCTGAGGGACAGCGCCCAGGCCCAGCGTTCAGGCCCCACAACTGGACCTCCCTGCCCCCCCAAAAAAAAGAAAGCTTGAAGTAGGGCTTTGATTCAAGAAGTAAAGCACCAGTGTGAAGCAAAAAAAAGTTAAGAGACAGTGCCCACGACCCTGAATTCAAGCCCTGGTGGAAAAAAAATTTTTTTTAATGCAACAAACTTGAAAACAATTATATCCTCATCCATCAGTTTTGACAGTTTCCTGAATTATGAGTGAAGAAAGCAAGTTAGAAGGTCATAAGGAAAGTGGAGTTATATGAACACTTATCTGTATTGGACACACTTTACAAGGTAAGCTTCCAGAATGTGAATCATGTTCATTTTTAGTTCCCGAGAAAAGAAATGGGAATATTTGCTAATGATTTTCATATTTAAATAATCTTTTCGAGAAGCCAGTTACAGCTCACCTGTAAGTGACGGGTGTGAATTGGACTCTCATGAAAGCCATAATCGTGACTTACACAGTCATATATAATCACTGATATAGTCACAAAGATCATGATTGTATAATCACAAATATACATGCAAGCAAAGAGAGAAAGGAAGAGGAAGGACAAGACAGAGACACAGAGAGATGGAGAGGGAGAGATCGGATGTTGCAATAATTTCACCATCTTAACAGAGCTGCAGAAGGTAATACCTGCAAGGTGGTAGATGCCACACAGGTTAAGCTGTCTTCCCTCTGGGAGGCGGGCTTCTGAGAACTACACATTTGGTAATCTTGCCCATAAAATGCCGACTGGATACTTATCGTAGAATGTCGAGGGCACTGTAGATTCAAATGGTCCCCATCACAGGCATAGGCGGTGTGGTTTTGTAGGAGTTTGGTTAGGTAACCTAGAAGATATTCAGCCGAGTTACAGGAGAGCAGGAGGACATTGATTCCCGGGGGCAGGGACTACTGGGTCAGAAAGGCACTGGAGGTGGAGTGGGGCCCCCGGAATACGGCTTCCCTACCAGCTCTGGTATGGACCAGGGCTGCACGAGCAGATGCTCGCTCCATGCCTGGCCCAGACATTTGGGGTTGAGTTGGCCCATGGTGAGACTCAGAGGGCTTTTCCCCTTCAGAAAGCTAAGGGACTGCCCAGCAGCCATGGAGCCTGCAAACACCTTTGTGAAGCAGGAAACTATTTTGAGTGGGTGTCTCTGAACATGCGGACACCTGTCCAGAGGGAGACTTATGTTCTCTGCTCCCCAAGCCTTCCTAGAGCGAGCCATACATGTCCTCCTGGGAGAGGACAGGCTGGCAGGGCCCCTGCTAGGAAGAAGTTCAGGGGATGGAGGAAGGCACAATGGAACTTTGTTATGGACTGAATATTGTGGACCCTACTCAAGTCACCAGAGACCTTAGAATATAATTTAAAAAAAAAAATAGGGTCTAGCCAGGTGCTGGTGTCTCACGCCTGTAATCCTAGCTACTCAGGAGGCTGAGATCTGAGGATCTCGGTCTAAAGCCAACCTGGGCAAGAAGATCCGTAAGACTCTTATCTCCAATTAGCCACCAGAAAACTGGAAGTAGAGCTGTGGTTCAACTGGTAGAGCACTCGCCTTGAGATAAAGAGCTGAGGGACAGCACCCAGGCCCAGAGTTCAAACCCCACAACCAACAACAACAAAAAAAAAGAGGGTCATTGCAGACATAATTGACACTGGAGAAAGGAAGATCCTTAGTAGCACCTGTGTGGGGTTCCTATAGGAGAAGAGACCCTGAAGGAAGGTGGCTATATGTAGCCTGGAAGGATGCAGAATGAGAGCCTTCAAAGGATCTCAACCCTACAGACACCTTGACTTCAGATTCCTGGCCTCTAGAACCAAGGCTGAATGGAGGTCTGATGTATTCAGCTACCCAGGCACAGGACCTAGCAGAGGCTCCCAATCCTGGTCTCCCAGTTCCTTCTGAAGCAACTAGAAGAGCCAAGTGGGGCCTGGGCCTGCGATGCTCTGAGGATGGGCTGGCAACCCAGGGGATGAAGGCTGTCTCTTAGAAATAGGGAAGGAAGGTTCATGCAAAATGGAGATTCCCTTCCTCCTCCTCACACCTGGGGAGGTCAGCGGCAGGCCGCTGGGAACAGAGCCAGGGACTTTCTGCTGAGGGCCGTGTGGGTTGCCCTGGCAACCCTTAGCCTCAGAGAAGGAGGTGTCAGGAGAGGAAGGGCTGTCTTGGAAGGCCCTGATTTCCATCAGATGACCATGGTTATATTTTCTTTTTCAGGTTTCCAGCTCCTCTCAGAATCATAAGTCCTGATCCAATGTCAGTAGTTCACAACTATAACCCTAACTACTCAGGAGGCTGAGATCTGAGATCCTGCTTCAAAGCCAGCCCAGGTAGGAAAGTCTAGGAGTTGACAGGAGAGTTAACCAACAAAAAGCCAGAAGTAAAGCCATGGCTCAAGTGATAGGACCATGCCTAGAGCACAAAAAAGCTAAGGGAAAATGCCTAGATACTGAGTTTAAATCCCAGTACCAACACAAAAAGAAAAGAAAAGAAAGAAAGAAAGAAAGAAAGAAAGAAAGAAAGAAAGAAAGAAAGAAAGAAAGAAAGAAAGAAAGAAAGAAAGAAGAAAGAAAGAAGAAAGGAAAACAAGTCCTGGCAAAAGGCACCATTCCCATCTCCCAGGCTTCTTAGAAACTCACAGTCCAAAGGACTGAGACCATTGCCTGGTGTTTCCCATCTGTCCGGGCAGCGGGTCCTGAAGTGGGCTGTGAATGCCCTCTGGCACTAGCCCAGGCCTATGCTCCATTTCTTCTTCCCTCTTGAAAACCATTCAAAGCCATCTTGCTAAGAGAAACGTCTAAGACGAGCAGCAGAGGGACACCAGGCAGGAGTGTTTCTTATTATGGGGGTGTGATCCCACCAGTATGAAAGTGAGTGTTGGCAAGCGACCTCTTAAAACGATCGGTTGTGAGGCCCAGCTCAAACCCCAGGAAGGAATGAGGGAGCACCAGAGAGGATGAGGCTTCGGGGAGCAGAGGCCCTGCTGAGGACCAGCAGATCAGAGCAAGGCAATCACACCAACAAGCTGGACAGACAGGAAGTGCTGCCAAAGTGCTGTGAAGATAGAGAAGTTACAATCACGGGAATGTCTGAGAATAGTCATGGAGAAGACCTACGAGGTAGGGAAAGAGCTCGTCTGGAATGAGGATGGCAGGACTGCATGAAGCTGGCCCTGTACCAACAGCATCCTAGGCAGAAGGAAGTAGGTACAGTGGGAGCCTGCGCCCACATTTCCCTTGAACAAAGAGCTGCTCCCAACCCAGTGTACCTTGCAGCTACCCACTTCCCAATGGAGCCAGCCCACTGCTCCCAAAGTACTTCCCCGTCAACATACCACTTTGCTTTCCTGGATGATTCAAAAGATGGGTGTCCTTAGCTTTGTCTAGCTGGCTTTGAGCTCTCCACCCTCCTGCTGGGATTACAGGTGTGCACTGCCATACTTAGTTGCATAGTTGCTTGTTAAAAAACAACTACTAGTACAGCTTTGGTGAATAGTTCTCTGAATCAAATTCTCCATCATGTTGGATGAGTCGAAATGCTTCATTTCTTAATAGTTTCAGCTAAAGTTTTTACAATCGGTGTTTATAGACAAATATTTACTAATGGAAAGAAAACAGAAGTACATACTCCTTAAAAATCAGTCCTTCACAGGGTGCTGGTGGCTCATGCCTGTAATCCGAGCTACTTAGGTTGAGATCTGAGGAGTGAGGTATGAAGCCAGCCCAGGAGGAAAGTCAGTTAGACTCTCTTACCTCCGATAAAGCCTACAAGTGGAGCACAAAGAAGCTTGGGGATAGTCCCCAGGCCCCGAGTTCAAGCCCAAGGACAGGAGAAAAAAAGAGTCCTTCAATACCAGTGTAATTTGAGACACTGTATTGACCCTTGTTAAACTGGTGGCCAGAGGTTAATTATGCAGAGGGTGTAGATTCCCCGCCAGCTCAGGGGCATGGGTGCAGCTCATGATTAACTCCAAAATACTCTCTTCCCTGGCAAAAGCCCCACTGTGGATTAACCAAAACCCCTAGAGGCCCAAAGCTGGACATGGTAGCACACGTCTGTAATTCCAGCTACTCCAGAAGTGGAGGCAGGAGGATTGAAATCTCAAGGCCAGCTTAGACAAAGTTAGGGAGACCATACCTCAAAAAAACAAGGTAAAAAGCCTGGGGTTATAGCTACAGGGATAGAGATCTAAGAGGCCTTGGGTTTAATTGCAAGTAGTAACACAGACACAGACACAGACACACACACACACACAGACACACACACACACACACACACAGAGTCTCCCACAGTTACAGCTACCACTAGATCCTAACAGATTTGAGGAGTTTGACAAAGATCTTTGTTTCCCCTTTTTAAGTTCAGAGGAAGAATCTCTTAAAGAGTTGCAAATGTTTACAGAAAGCTAGATCAGTCTTGGCTCTGAGATCATTATCTCCCCTCTATAGACAATGAAAACTCACTGGCATAAACTAATCCAGTGTCTAGAGAATGAGTAACAGGTGTTATACAGGGTAGTGGTTATAGGATCTGTGCAAAATAAGCTTGGGGAAGTCATGTCCTGGGCTAAACCAAAGTCAACCCAGTTAGTTCCCTGCAGGAATTCTCAGAATCAGGTACACCAAAGTGTCCCACACTCCCTGCTCCCCTTCCCCCGCCCCCAGACCAGAGCAGCCACGCAGATTGACCAGCCCCCCCCCCCCCCCCCCCACCCCCGCCACTTTTTAACCATGATGCATCTCAGAGTTCACGTTACATCCATCATTCTTAGAACTGCAGGTTGAGGCCAGGGCCTTATGCTTGCTAGGCACAATGTACTCATTACCTGATTTATGAGGCAGTAACACCCCTGTATATTACCTTTATAATAACAATTTTAAAAAGGTGTAGGACTCTGACACTTCTTGAGATTGGGGTCCCAGGGAAGGATCCAGTGATAGAACAGACATAGGCATCATTTATCTATCATAAACCACCTCGGTGAAAGGATCTTCACATCCATCCCAGCGGACCACCCAGAGGCAGGCAGGCACAGGAGAAAGATTATTACAAGGTTTATTGGAGGAGCCATATTTGCCCCGGAGAGGGAGCACATGGCGGCTGGGGTAGGAAGTGAGGTAGATGGGAGCTCAGGAGGGTCTGGGCGGAGAGAGGGAGGGACAGCTGTGTGCAGAGAACTCCAGGGCAGGGAGGAGCTCAAGTCTGGGTGGAGCTGAGGACCCAAAGATGGGCATAATGCTTACATCCGAAACTGTAAGCACGATAAGCATTACTATTAGCCTCTTGAAGGATGCTAAGTAACGCAGTATCCTATGGGTGGAATGCAGACCAACCTAACTCTATCTAGTTAGGTCCACCCCCAGTCACTCTCTCAGCTCTGGACCACTCACAGACAAGCATACAGCCCAGAATCTGCCCTGGAGGTCCAGAAATGTGCCTGCCAGGCTTGCAGGGAAAAGGAACTTTCCTTCCTTACTCCCTTCCTTCCTTCCTTCCTTCCTTCCTTCCTTCCTTCCTTCCTTCCTTCCTTTTCTTCCTTCCTTCCTTCCTCTTCTTCATTCCTTCCTTCCCTCCTTCCTTCCTTCTTCCTTCCTTTTCTTCCTTCCTCTTCCTTCCTCTTCCCTTCCTTTTCTTCCTTCCTTCCCTTCCCTTTTCCCCTCCCTCCTTCTTTCCTTCCTTCTCCTTCTTCCCCTCTCCCTTTCTTCCCTTCTCTTTCACTCCATTCTTTCTTTCTTCCTTATCACTAAAATATGAAAGCGGTTAACAATTAGGAGAGGAGAAGCCAAAATGAGCTGCCAATTCTTTTGCTTTTGTCCCGAAGCCAGGAACTCTCCAATGAAGTC